ACCATGTCAGGACGGGGACTCACCTTCAGACTCTTGTCACCATGTCAGGACAGGGACTCACCTTCAGACTCTTGCCACCATGTCAGGATGGGACCCACCTTCAGACTCATGACACCATGTCAGGATGGGACCCACCTTCAGACTCATGACACCAGGCCTTCTGCTTCTCTTTTCTCTGTCTTCTGACTCCAGAGCATGTCCTAGACAGGGACAGAGGAACATAAGAGGGAAAACAGAACTGGAAATGGGTCAACAGCCCACCCGGCCTCTCCAGCACTAGACTCTGCACATGCTCTGCCTTGGAAGCACCACCCCCTGGGCAGCTTTACGACTGATGTGCATGCTGTCTACTGGCTGCTATATTCAAACCCAAGGCCAGCTTCTGTGCAGGTGGTATTCACCCAGCAAACCGCCTCCAGAAGACCTAAGCAAGCGAAGCCAGAGGGTGCGGATGCTGGGCAATTACACTGTTTTAGAAACAGGGTCTCATTCTGTCACCCAGGCTGGAGTGCAATGGCGTGATAATAGCGCACTGCAGCCTGGATTACCCAGCGTAAGGAAGGCCTACTCATTGCCAGCATCTGGACATCCATTCGTCCCACTGCTCACTGTCACGGAACTCAGCACACTGCGTCTTCCTGGGAAATCACCCACACCAATCTCTCTGGGATTTCCTAAGGAAGGAAAGGTTGGAGGTTTCAGAAGCAGAGCCCAGCACTGCTCTGCGTCTCATCACCTGCTTCGCACTCGGCCACAGAGCAAAGCCTGTTCCATATGTGTCCATCTTGCCCACCAGTGGCAGCTGAGGGCACACACTTCCCCCTGAAAACCTTTCTGGTGGCTAAGGACCTGGGGCTCTATTTAAAGATACAGAACTACCTTTTATGCAGCCAGACGTGGCACAGTCCCTCTTACACTCTTGACAAATGCTATGTAATTTCATAGAGCGTTATCTAACGTACACACACCAACCTCAACAAGACGACCAAAATAACAATAATAATACGAAATTTATTGCCCTTCCCTCCCCTGGAAGGCAAGAGAGAATGACAGAGGCTGCAATTTGGGCTTTAGGGTAGTGAATTCATTTGCAGGGCTAGGCTCAACCCAGGGGCTATAAGGATGACTCCCCAAAACCACAGCTGTATGAAGAGAGGCAGCTGGGCACCCACCATGGCTAACTTATATGCAGGCCCACCTGCCGAAAACTGCACTCAGGATCCAGCCTGGGTGGAGGGAAGCATGAGAACCAGGGTAAAATTCTAGCCTTGGTTCTCTCAACAGCATCTGATTTCTTCTGAGGAAGAGAAACCTATACATGAATTCATCAAGATGTAATTTATTATTTGATTACATTTAAGATGTTTCTTACCAATCTCACAAGTAAATCTCAATAGAGTACTGCTATTTTGATTTGTAAGATCACACTGCCTTTTAGGCTGGTGTGGTGGCTCATGCTGTAATCTCAACACTTTGGGAATCCGAGGTGGGAGGATCACTTGATGCCAGGAGTTGGAGACCAGCCTGGGCAACAAAGCAAGACCCTGTCTCTACAAAATAAAAAATAAAAAGTTATCCAGGTGTGGTGGCACATGCCTGTGGTCCCAGCTACTCTGGAGGCTGAGACGGGGGGGACTGCTTGAGCAAGATGCTCGAGGTTATAGTGAGCTACAATCAGGCCACCGTACTCCAGCCTGGACAGCAGAGCAGGCCACAATTCTATACAGAAATAACGGAATCTAGAGATTTACAGTTCTAGCTGAGGCTAAGTGACAGCTTACGGTCATCACGGGCAAAGCATGACACGGCCTCTGACCCTGTTCCCCCAGGCTCTTGAGGTATGGAAAGGGGCAGGGAAACCAGTAAGCCACAAACGGATGATAACTGTCAGACCCGAGCGCCTGCTAATCCAGCACACCATCCCCGCCAGCCTGGCCTTCCAGCTCTGGACAGATATATACCTTTCCATAACTGCCAGCCTGGCCTTCCAGCTCTGGATGGATATATGGCATTCCACATCACACAAGTGAAAGTGCTGGACCAGGGCTGTGGTTTCCTTCTCTGTATCCCCAGGGCCTTGCCCAGAAGCTGACACACCATGTGTGGTCAATAAGCATTGAATGGATAAATCATAGTGGTAGAAAAAATACAGTGTGGCATGGGATGACTTCCAATTTCAGAGCTCCACAGTTCCCTTGCAAAGTGGCTCTGTGGCACAGCCCTGGGGCTGCTGATGTCCAGGCCAGGTGCCGTAAGAGGTGAGTGGCAGAGGCAGGGTGGCTGCTCTGCTCAGGTTAGCCTGGGCAGCACAAGGCCTGACCACCTCCAGTGCCCACCCGCCTTGCACATGTTGATTGTACCAATTCCCTTAGCCTGTGCCCTACCTCTGTCGTTCTTATCCTCCACCATCTGACCTAACCTTCTATACCAAATCTCAGGCCCAGTCCAGCAGGACTCCTCCTTCTCCCCGCCATCTCCCCATCTAAGGCCCTTGTCAAAGAATTCTCCCCATTGGCAAGGATGCCCTGTCCTGCCCTCTTGACAGCATAGACGACCTGTTTGGGTACAGTGAGCCTTCTCCACCCCAATCTAATTCCTCTTCTCTTAACTTTCAGGGACAGAGACAAAAACATCACAACAATCTGCCCATTGGATGTGTGCCACAGTAGGCTGGTCATAGCTAGCTTCTCTGCTCCTAGAGGTCAGGGGTTCTGCCTGCACTATAGAGCTTATGGCTTTTCTGTAAACACCACAGCTTATTACAGAGTTACTAACAGAGAGCTGACCCTGGCTAACTTGACTGGCCTTTACTTGTGACAAACCACCAAGATGGGGGATGGATCTTGGGTATCGCAAGGGAAGTATTACTATTCCCAATTTTGCAGATGAGAAAACTGGCACAGAGGAAGAGGGGAAGGGGTGTCCTGTGGGCTCTGAATTAGGTCAGACCAAGCCCTCTACCTGGATACGTACTGAGCCACACTGCCTCTGCCCCACACCCCCACGGTCTTGGAGTCTGTGAGCCACAGTAGAAGAGAGAACAGTGGACTCGATACTGGGTAAAAGAAGCTGCAGATTCAAAGGGAAGGGATGGCTATAAAATTGAGACTTCATTTCTTTACTCCCCCTCTCCCCAGCACTAATCAAGATGTAACATGCCCTCAGAGGCATCTGCCACCTCTCCTGACCTAGGGAGACAGCAGGAGCTATGGTACAGAACTGGGCAGATAGGAGGAAGGCTTGGCATTCTCTGCTTAAGGACAAGATGAGTCGGGACCAAGGATGTGGGCCCCCTTGCTCCTCCAGAAGACCATGGGTGCTACATCAGGGGGACAGAACATTGCAGAAAGCAAGAGGCCGGCCTGGCCGGCCTCATCCCGAGCAGCCACAATCCCTTGGCACCTGTGGGCAGGCTGGTAGGCTTAGGCCAACCCCCTATTTTACAGACTGAGGTGTGGCAAGGATATGGAGCTCACAATCAGGAGATAAACCTGGATAGGGTGGTTTGCTGCTCACCCTTCTAGCACCACACCAAGGCTCCCTGGGGCCCAGCATGGAACCCTCCCGTCTTGATTCTCCAGGGGTATTGCAGCCCCAAGCAGGAGACATCGCAGAGGCATCCTGTGGCAACCCAGATGAACTCATGCTGCTTTCCAAAGCCCAGGCTGATTCCTTGGGAGACAAGGACTCACTGAAGGATGGAATCTCTTCTATGCAGGGACTATAGCTCCTGTAACACACCCCATCCAGTCACCCAAATGGCATTTGGCTTAGAGTAGAAGGGCAAATCTCTGGTCAGTTTCACTACTCTTTTTTCTCCCTGAGACACAGCCCTCAAAGGAGACAGAATAGGCAAAGTATTAGCACAGAACCTGGTAGAGTAAGTGCTCAATAAGTGGTTCCTGTCCCCATCATCATAACTCATTATGACTTCCTAGATGCCCATTCCTCACCTCCCAGGCTCAGGTGAGGAACCCTCTTTCTATAAACTCAAGGCTTATTGGAGCTAGAAGGCCCTTAACCCAGTCCAGGGTTTCCAGAGCAGGAAACTGGAGCTTCTGAGAGGGGAAGGGGGCTGGAGGCCAGGTCAGATCTACAGCCAGGGGTCCTCCGAGGGGAGAGGCTAACTGAGGCCCCTCTGCCCTTTGACAGCAGTATGAGCCCAGCGCCTCCCCAGAAAATCTCTCTGAGGCCCTGAAGCTTGGCAGGGAGCCAGGGCAGGAGGCCTCTCCAAGAAGATGCTGGCTCTGAGCCAAGACGCATCCCAGAAGCTCCAGCTCACAGAGAGCAGCAGAGGCTGAGGGGAGGAGGGGCAGCCGGAGCGGGGTGACAAGGAGCCCTCAGGCCAAAGGAAACAAACCTGCTGAAAGTGGGTTTGGCACGAACCTGGGATGCATGGCTGCCTTCCCGTGGTTTCTGCACATCTAGGAGACTATGAAATCGCTGCTGGGGACGGGGGAAAGAGGATGACCCTCCTGTTAACTACAGCTGTGCCTGTTCAAACTCCACTGGGGCATTGCTAAACCTTCATCCAAAGACTCTTCAGGGGTTACCCATTGGCTGCCTGTCCCCACCTAAAACGCTGAAAAACACAATGTTGCCTGCAGATTCAAGCCACGACTTCTGCCTCCAAGGACTGGGGGTTAATCCCCATTTAAAGGGCTATATCAGGCACTCCTTAAAGCCCCTAAGGCCCGAGGCTCTCTACTCACCTCCTCTCTAGCTTTTCCAGGATCTCTATGCACAGAGCCCTGTGTGGCCAGAAGCCTCCTGGGGGAAGATCAGGATTGGTTACTAAGTACTGGGGCTAGAAGAGGTTCTGAGCCTCTTGTCCTTGCTGTCCAATGAAAATATGTCAGTTCTGAGTATGATTTTAAATGTTTCAGAAGCTTCATTAAAAAGAATAAACAGGTCACTTTAATAATATCTTTCACTTAACCCAACATTATCATTTCAACATGCCACGTTTGCCACATTTAATGAGACCAACAGCACATGTGTCTGGTGGTTATCATACAGGACAGCTCTGGACAACAGCAACCTCTCCCCGTTTTCAGATGAGGATGAGAATGTGGTTCAAGCGTCTGAGGGAAGGACAGAGGACAGAAAGGGAAGCCCCCAGCTGTGCCCAGCAGCCTTTCCCTTCAGCCTCCAAATAAATAGTCATGGCCTAGGAAATAGATAATTTTATGATCAATCA